CCGTGCATACTTAGTATTTTTGACAACTAACTTGATAATAGAAATGCAAACAGTGATAGGACCACCCATTTGGACGGTTGTCTCTGCAAGCTAATTGTACTAGGATCATACTCTATGTATATAAATGTTGACACATTGATTTTCATATTGATGAGTTGACTGATTTTGGTTCATTGATTTTAACAATATATTTTTGAATGCATACCAGATTTTTGACATATAAGAGAGTGTAATCCAAAGTGTAGATAATCCGTGCACAGATAGATTAATCCAGTGTACCATATGTGCAGGATCTTCCATAGGTGATAAGAGGGGTGGTAGGAATCTATTGATATCTTAATCTTACTAGATTTTGAGGTTAATAAAAATAATGTATTCAAACATGCTGGACAATAAAAGTTTGCTTAAAAGTATTTTACAATTTTTTTATTAAGATTTAACAGAGTAAAAGCTAATTCCTTACGTAAGCTCTTACGCAAGTTCAAAGTTTTTTTACAAGAAAAAAAAGGTGAATTTCAAAAACGGTCACTGAAGTTACCTGAAAGTCACAAAACGGTTACTGAAGTTTAAAACTTGTAAAAACGGTCACTAAAGTTTAAATTACTTTCACAAACGGTCACTGAATTTTCAAATTTTTTGGGCAAGTTTTGCTGCGATTTTTCTGCAACTTCCGACCACCAAAACCGTCAGATTTGGATACCTTTGGAAAGCCCACAATATCCTCTTCAATTACCACCAAAAATCTCTCCATAACTCCAAAGGATTCGGCCAACATATACCCACGAAGTCGGCTACCGAAAATCTGCCCGATTTTCAGATTTTTTGTGCGAGGTTGCGGCAATTTTCCGGCAACTTCCGATCACTAATACTGTCGGTTTTAGATACTGTTGGAAATCCCACAACGTCGTCTTTAATTACGATGAAAAATATTCCCATAGCTCTAACGAATTCGATCGAAATAAACCCACGAAGTCAACTACCCAAATTGGGTAGATTTTCAGATTTTTTTGGTAACTGATTTCGTGGGTTTATTCCGACCGAATCATTTAGAGTTATGAGGAGATTTTTCGTGGTAATTGAAGAGGACATTGTGGGCTTTCCAACTGTATCCAAATTCGGTGGTCGGAAGTTACCGAAAAATCGCCGCAAAACTTGCCCAAAAAATTTGAAGATTTAGTGACCGTTAGTGAAAGAAATTTAAACTTCAGTGACCATTTTTACAAGTTTTAAACTTCAGTGACCATTTTGTGATTTTCAAATAATTTCAGCGATCGTTTGTGAAATTAACTCGAGAAAAAGACAAATAAATTATTAATTGAGGGGGTTGAGATGATATGATACTTTGATCAAGAGAGGCGAGATATGATGCCCCCCACGTATTTTTGACACATTGGCACGATTAAATTCTTAGCAAATAATAAACGTCAAGGGTGTAATGTTTTCGAGATATCAAAAAAAGTGTTGAAACCTTCTCATTTACTATTAAGATGTAATGAATCGATGTGTCAAAAATATATTTGGAGGGCTCTAAGGAGGCGTCAAGTTCGAGAAAGCAGATTATGCCCCTGTTTGATTGTGATTAAAATTAAATTTTTAATAGGTTTTAATAAATGTTGATGAAATGTGTAATTAAAAATATTTGAGTTCTATAAAATATATGGTTAAAATTGGTTTTTGAATTTGACTTAGCCATTGCTTGGTTTGGATTAAAATTCAATTAAAATCTCAAGTCAATGTCAACAATTAATTTTATCCACGCATTTCATGGGACACACAACTTTTTCAACCACACATTTTATCAACTTTTATCAAAATTTACTAAAAATCTGAATTTTAACTTTTATCAAACCAGTGCTATATTTATAAAGAGGGGAATTGCATGAAGCATCAGGTTTCCTTCCAATATGTGAGAAATTGCAAACGAATAATTACCTAAGAGAAATTGAGATAATGTGGTACCTCGCTCTAAATAGAGAATTATTAAGGTTCATTTGGTTTGTGTTTCAATTTTGAGTTTTAAAATTATTTGCAGTTTTTTTTTTTTTTTTGAAAGTCTATTTTAAGATTAGTAAAAATGTACTTGGTTTGTTAATTTGAAAAAAAAAAACAATTTTCAAAATAGAAAACTAGAAAATACGTTAAACTTGAAATTTTGAGAACTCATTTTATGACTGTTTATTCCATATAATTTGATTATTCAACAAAATAAAATAATTTTATATTAATAATTTTCAAAATAGAAAACTAGAAAATACGTTAGACTTGAAATTTTGAGAACTCATTTTATGACGGTTTATTCCATATAATTTGATTATTCTACAAAATAAAATAATGTTATATTAATATATTATCAAGTAATATATACATTTTAAAATTTGTAAATCTTACAATATTTTTGTCAGCTACAAAAATAAATAATAAATTGAATTGGCAAAACACAGGAAATAAATAATAAAAATTAATGACGTGAACTAAGAATTTTTATATTTGTTCATTTAGATATACTTTTTTTAAATCTTATGTAAATAAGTTTGAACTATTTTTATTTTTAAAATTTTAGAATTTGTTTTTTCCAAGTTTTTATTCTTTTTATTTTTTTTAAAATTTTTTGAATTCTTATTTCTCAAAATTTTAAATTTTTTAATATTATCAAATTCTTTTTAATTTTTTTAATATTATCAATTTTTTCTTTTATTTTCTTACAATTTTAAAATTTTATATTTTTGTTTTTTAGAATTTTATGTAAATAAAGTTTTGTTTAAACGTTTATTTCCCATATTTTAACCGTTTTCAGAGTTTTAACTAAAAATTCTCAAGATATCAAAAATGCATTTTGGATTTTTATGTTATAAGCCTCCATTTGTTTCTCATTTTTCATTCATAAAAATGAAAAATATGATCATTATCAATCACATCAAGCCATCAATTTTAAATTTCTATCTCGATTATATTTTTTCATTCTCATTCTATAATAATGAGAATCAAACGGGCCTAAGTTTAAAATTATTTTTGAAAATACCAAATCAAACAAGTTTTTGGTATTTTGCAAAACTAAAAATCGGTTGAAAAACAACAAATCAAACACATTGTAGCTTTTCTAGTGCATAACAACAATCGTGAAATCGAATGTCATTTGAACTTTTTCAGCCTATCATGAAAACATGTACTCCATGCGAAAAGTTCTTTGGCTGCAGTCTTTGAACTCTCTTATTTTAGCAAATTTGGTTAATTAGCAAAAATTGAATAAAAAGTAGAACACTAATCTTTTGCACTTTCTGCACATACATGCAATTGGAGAATGGAGAATGATTGTGTTGAAGATTTAATTAACATATATAAATAAATTCTTCACTCTTTAGAAATTGTATTTAAAATTCTTTATTTAGATGTTTTAACGTTATATTTGACGACAACCCTAAATTCAAATCTTGTAGTTTCCTATTTGCAAAAAAAAAAAAAAATCATGTTCAATTTTTTTACTTACAAGTGAAAGACCATGTTGAAGATAAATACGAATAAATAAGTTTCTTCTCTATTTGACAAATTAAGCAAAACAACCATCGACTATAACCTTAAAATAGAACGAGATTCCATATTAAAAACAAAAAACAAAGAAAAACCTAGTGTGAAAATTCTAGGTCATTTAATCAGCTAATATTTCTCATTTGTATTACAAACAACAGATAAATCTATAGGTATTGGCTACATGTTGCCACAAAATCATAGGAAGAACCCTAAATTAATAATCGACACTTACGTGTTTTATAATTTATGCCACGGGGTGAAAAATACACTAAAAAACTTTTTTTTTAATTTTTTTAGGATATTATGACTTACATATGTTTCCTTCTTAAAATCCTAAAAAGTACCAAATATACACTAAAAAAATTAAAAATATTTTAGGGTATTATGACTTACATATGCTTCCTTCTTGAAATCCTAAAAAGTACCAATTTTAAATCCTAAATACACTAAAAAAAGCAAAGATATTTTCTTAGGATGTTATGACTTGCATATGTTTCCTTCTTGAAATCCTAAAAAGTACCAAATTTTAAATCCAAGGAATTGTTTCCCTTTATCTTTAAGCAGCTGGTAGCAATTTTGAATCATGGGCAAGAAAGTTCAGGTTATAAAGTCAAATGAACAAAGTTACTGTTTGGTTAAAATTGTTAGTAATTTATAATTTTCAGTAAATAGAAATGATGGTTTGCAGTATCCAAATATAATTAAGAGAGAAAATGTCAAAAAAATAAAAGGTATGGATTTTTCGCAATAATAGTAAAATGTATGAACATTATATGTTAATTACCATTTTAATAATTTATTTGTAATTCATTTGCTCTTTTCAAAAAAGTTAGGACTATGTTTGCAATTAGTTTTTTTTCTTTCTTCTTTTGTTTTATTTAAAGGAAACGATATTTTCGTTATTTCACAATTTTTAATTGATAAAATGGATGAAAATGACATTTTACGCAATGAAATGTGGAAATAAGGGTGAAAATGCCAAAAAATGAAAGGTATTGACGTTTTTCGCAATAACAATGAATGATGGGGACGTTATGTGCTAATTATCCTAATGAGAATTTGATTTTGGAATAGTAATTTTTTTAAAAAATATGTGGTTAAAAACGAAAGAAAAAATTTGAATTTACATGTAATATTATTTTATTGAAAAATACAGGGCCGATAATAAGAGAGATAAAAATGAATTATAATTTAATAAGGGCCAAACAAATGCTAAATAACTTTTACCAAGCAGGGTCTAAATCTAGTTCCAAATAAAATTCAACTCGGTTATACGAAATTATGAATATTTTTTCTTTGCTCTCTTCGACCACATTCGCTGAAAAACTTATGGTATGTCATTCAACATTGTAGCAACTAGCAAACATGAAATAAGAAAAATGTATTCATTATTCATTGAACTTATATGTAAATATTCTCTTGAGGAGAAGAAATAATTATTTTTGCAAACATGGACATGGTTATCAAAAAATAACTTAATCCCTGTCTGAAGAAGTAATCACAGACTCTGTGAAGACAGTTGAGATTGTAATATTCCATACTCTAATTTCTCCATCCAAACTTCCACTGAAAACTGAAAGATTCTCATCCAAATCTCCATCAGAGACTGCAACTATTGACTTAATTGGTTTACAGTGTCCTTCAAGAATTCCCAAACAACAGTACCCTTCTTTGGATTCTTGCCAAATTCTTATAGTTTTATCAGATGAACCACTCAATAATGTATTATTTACATAAAATAAGCACAATATGGCCCCTTCATGCCCAGCCAATGACCTTTTTAGCTCCATGTAATTAGAACTATTCTCCCTCTCCCACACAAAAATAATTTGCTCTCCTCCTCCTGAAAAAAGTACCGATCCATCCTTTTTCAGAGCCAAAGCATTGACGCTAGACGTGTGTTTATCTAGGATAGTTAACAATTTGTGGGTTTTCTGGACTCGCTCCCAGACTTTTATGTGTCTGTCAGTGGAGGCAGTGTATATTAGGCCATCAACAGAAACAACAATGGCATTGACAGCATCAAAATGGGCATTTTTCATCGATTCTAAGCAATTCATGTTTGATATCTTCCAGGTCTTGAAACTCTTGTCCCATGAAGCTGAGTACATTAGTCCGTTATTCACAGCTAAACATGAAACTGTGTCGGAATGTTCAATCCAAAGCTTCTGCTTGTGACGCCTAACTTGAATGTAGTTTTTTGCGAGCATGCAACGGCCTAAACGATCTTTAAACGTGGGAAGCGTTGAGATCAGACGGTGCTTCTTACTTGTTGTCACTTGCCAAACCCTGATTTTGCAATCTTGATGTGCAGTGAAGATTTTTCTGTCACTGAATGCAATAAACTTGACCAAACCGGACGCAGAATCACTGCAGCTAAAGGTGTCAATAAGGGCATAATTTGTTAAACTAAAGACAATGATTTCATTGACAGAAGTTACATAGAGACGGTTTTCACGCACTGCAAGGCAGCTAATTTGTGAAGCTAGGGTTCTAAGAGAAGTAATATAGCAATGGAATATAAAGGGTTTTGGGGTTTCATTGGATTCAAGACTGCTAAAGCTTGTTCCTTCTGAAAATGTAGATTTCGACTCCCTTGCGGGGATCCATGACTGGAAATCCTCCATTGTTTTTGCAAGAAAATGCTTGAAAACACACACACACACAGAGCAAGCCAGAGAGAGAGAGAGAGAGAGAGAGGGGTGGAATGGGGGGAGAGGGAGGAGGGATGGTGCACAGGAAGGCAGAAACTAATGGAGTTGAGAATTAAAAAAAAAACATGTAGAGAGTTTGGAAAATTTGCCATTTGTACAAACATGAACCGTTCTTTAATTCTACAATTCTCATTGTGGTCCAAGTGCCATTTAAGTATAGGTTTGTTGGCTTTGTCAATGGCCTACAAAATTGCAATCTTTGATCCTACTTCAATCAAGCATATATATAATATTTTGTGACAACATTAGTGACATGCTAGACCGAACAATATTGCACCGTGTTTGAAATCAGAAAACGGAGATTTTCCGTTGCTAGTACTAACGGAATCCACAACGAACTAGTAACAAAATAGTTTTCTATTATTTTTTAAAAATTATAAATTAAATTGCCGACGAAATTAACGACATAACGTTATATTTTAGTCCTCAAGATTCAGGCAATTTCTTTGGAGGGATAAACAAATGAATAGGCCTTAACCAACCATGTTATAATAAACTCCAAAGCACATGTTTTTATATATATTTTAGCAGACTGAGGTCCAACAGAACGAAGTGCAATTTAATTTAATGAGATTTGTCTAAAAAGTGTGTGTTTTTTTTTTAATAGTTTAGCAAAAGCAAAGATTAGAGGTTGGAAATGGCAAATTAGCTGAGATTATGAGCATCATGAACCATCATCACAGCACTGATCAAGTTAAGTTATAATGATAATGACAAAGGCTTAGCTTAACTAATTCTCAATATTGACGTGTTATGCTGTTCGATGAAATTTCAAATCTTACTGAACTAGTTAATCGAGAGTTACGTTCTAGTGAAAAAATTGACGTATTCGAGACTAAGATTCTAATCAAATTTTATGATTTAACTATGGAATATTCAAATTTTAATTTCATTTCTAATCATGTTCAATATGATCAAGTAGATGGTATTAGTGTTCGTATTATCGGTATAGATAAAGTGTTTAGATTACAATGTTGCCGGCTCAACCATAAATCATCGAGTTTATTTATTGAAGAATATATCTAACAATTTACAATGCATTCTGTTTGAATTATTTTTTGGATGATTTTAACCCTTCTACAATTCAATTATTTCAAAAATACTTTACTTTTTCGTTTTTCAATATATAATAAATATTACAAAATCTTTATCATATATGAATGAATCTTGATTGCGAACGAATCTTTATGAATATTGATGTGAACTAAGGGATGGCAGCAAGATGGATCGGGATTGAAAATGTCCTCTCTATCTCCCACTCCGTCGAGATTTTTTGAATGCGGGGTATAGTCGAGGCAGAGCGGGGATTAAAATATCCCGATTTACATATTTTTTAAATTTTTTATAATTTTAGAATATGATTTAAATTTGAAAATCATAAAATAAAGCAATAAATAAGAATTGGAGCGGGTGTGGAATGGAAATAATCTTCTTCGTCACCGTTCCGCAACCCCAATGGAAAGGAAATTTTTTATATTCAAGGCTTTAATAGGACAATGTGGGATAGCCGGATAGGTAGAAGGAATGAAGGATCATTTTTCCATCCCTAGTTTGAACAATGCAGCTGAATAGGCTCAATCCATTTCAACAGAATTCTTGAACCAATATTTAGTAATATTAAACTAAACAAATAATGATCGTAGCTAACATCATATGTAACGTGATAAACCCAAATAAAACGACCACGAGTCCATATGTCACGGCAAGGGCGGACGCAGACTTTCGAAACTAGAGGGCACAATCTAACTTTCACAAAGTGACGAAAAAATGAAAGCAATGATTCTTCTGGTGCTTCATATGACGATCAATCTAATTAGTGGCAGACAACATCATCAAGAATAAGCATCTACTTGAACATAGTCTTCTATAATTAATCTTTTTCTTTGGCTTCTTTTGGTGCTTCATATGACGATCAATCTAATTCTGCTTTATAAAGACGGTCAATCAGCCAAGCAATCTGGCTTAAAGCTCAAAAATATTCCTCAAGATATCATTACTATGTAAATTGAAACTTCCTCGCTAATGTTGGGAGAAGGCCTTGTCGTAACTTTACTAAGTCGGCAAACCTATTGAATTAAATGGTCATGAGAATTTTGTTTAATGCCTCATTAGGAGATATATATATAATATTTTGTGACAACATTATTGACATGCTAGACCGAACAATATTGCACCGTGTTTGCAATTAGAAAACGGAGATTTTCCGTTGCTAGTACCAACGGAATCCACAACGAACTAGTAACAAAATAGTTTTCTATTTTTTTAAAAAAAATTATAAATTAAATTGCCGACGAAATTAACCACTAATGCTCCTTCAACGTTATATTTTAGTCCTCAAGATTCAGGCAATTTCTTTGGAGGGATAAACAAATGAATAGGCCTTAACCAACCATGTTATAATAAACTCCAAAGCACGTGTTTTTATATATATTTTAGCAGACTGAGGTCCAATAGAACGAATTGCATTTTAATTTAATGAGATTTGTCTAAAAAGTGTGTGTTTTTTTATTTAATAGTTTAGCAAAAGCAAAGATTAGAGGTTGGAAATGGCAAATTAGCTGAGATTATGAGCATCATGAACCATCATCACAGCACTGATCAAGTTAAGTTATAATGATAATGATAATGACAAAGGCTTAGCTTAACTAATTCTCAATATTGACGTGTTATGCCGTTCGATGAAATTTCAAATCGTACCGAACTAGTTAATCGAGAGTTACGTTTCTAGTAAAAAAATTGACTTATTCGAGACTATGATTCTAATCAAGTTTTATGATTTAACTATGGAATATTCAAATTTTAGTTTCATTTCTAATCATGTTCAATATGATCAAGTCGATGGTATTAGTGTTCGTATTATCGGTATAGGTAAAGTATTTAGATTACAAGTTTATTTATTGAAGAACGTATCTAACTATTTACAATGTAACTTGTTTTTATGTTTAATGTGAGCGTGGGTTAAAACCGCTAAATACGTATACTTTTATTGATTAAGCAATTTTTTTTTTTCAAATGGAATATGAATGAATAAATATACTTTATTGACCTAAAAAAAATTGTATTGATCAATTTTTATTACATCTATAATATATTAAATATCATGTCAAATTATTTTTGGATGATTTTAGCCATGCTACAATTCAATTATTTCAATAATACCTTACTTTTCGTTTTTTAATATGTTATAAATATTACAAAATCTTTATCATATATGAATTTCTTGTTATTGATTCTCAATTAATTAACATTCACATTAATTTAGATTCAATGAATCTTCACGTGATGAATATTAATATACATGTGTCTAGAGTTATTATCAATGTTCGAAAACGCGGCAAAAGGCGCCGCCTAAACGCGCGACACGCAGGTAAAACGCTTCGCATTCGGCCAATTCGTGTGAAAATGCGGTCAACGGAAGCGTTGACCATAAAAATGCGCACTTTGACCGCAAAAATGCGTGCAAATGCTCGCATTTTTTTATTTTTTATTTATGTTATACCAAATTTCTTTTCTTTTGTTGATTAAAAAATTATTAACTTCTTAACTTGCAACCCATCAATTTTATTGGCCCTGCAAGTAAGTCAGGATGTGGTTGGCCCATTTACTTATAGGAACAATTTCTTGTGCTTCATCTCTAAGATTCCGATGTGGGATAAGTGATAACTTTGGCTGTGGACTGTGGTAGTATTTGGGGAAAATCATCAACTGAATTTGGAACAATCAAATAGGTTTTAATTCCCCTTTGGAGGATAAGCCTGAGATCTTGACAGAATCGAGGCTTCACCGTCAATGTTAACTCTGAAAAGACGGCAAGGAGGCGGTGGTGAAGACGGTCTAGAGCGACGCCAAAGAAGGAGGAGTTTTCAGGAAGGAGGAATCAAAGCAAGGAATACAAGGATTAATTTGAACATGGTTTTGTTGATGGGATTTTTTGTGTATTCGGAGTTCTAGGATTGCTGCGGCGTTTGGGGTATTTGATGGGCAGGGTCCGTGGGTAGCGAAGAGGGTCAGAGAGTCATTGCCATCGTCTCTTCTTTGTAAGTGGCAAGAGACACTGGTTGAAGCTTCACTTCATCCTGATTTCGATATAGAATCAGATAAAAAAGCTTCATAAATTTGATATATGGAAGCATTCCTACAGTCCTCCTTGAAGACATTGAAGACGTGCTGCTGTAGATCAGGGTTTGGAGCATCACCATAAAATCAATTCATTTAACAGTGGAACCAATGCATTGAAAACTGTTAGGCAAGATAACGAATCGGAGCCAAACGTCGCCGGCCAAGTTGGGAGAAGATAAAAACAATTTGGAAACAATTTGCAATCAGAAAAATCCGGAATTAGCAGTGGATTCGACGTTTAATTACATGGAGTTAATTAATTATTTTTCTATATTTCCTTAATTAATAAAAAATTTAAAATCCTTCTAATATTAATTAGCAATATTATAGTATTATATTAAATGTTTAGTAAGTATTATTTTTAAATATTAAATGATTTTATGATATAGTAAAAAATATTTTTTTTATGATATAGTAAAAAATCTATTTTTTTATATAAAAATATATTTAATATCTTAAAAATAATTAAAATAATATTAAAAATACGAAACGCATTATGGCGCTTATTCTTCGCATTGGCACGCCTAAACTTGTGATTCTTGATTCTCGACCTCGACGCTTCGCAACGCATTACGCCTTTTAGAACATTGGTTATTATAGATGAATTTCAGATGCGTTTGATTGCGATCATGAAATTTGCATGGAAAATAAATAAATTTTAGACAATTCAATTGCCTAAAACTTATTAAGGCCCTTTTTGGTCCATATTATTTTTTTCATTCTCATTCTTTTACTCATTTTTAACCACATTTTTCAATAAAATAATATTTTCCATCACATCAATAATTTTTCCT